CTGGGTATATTCTGATGCTGTTCCAATCATTTTGGAATAATTTTAAAAGACTTTGTTAGATTGGAGCCAGCTGTTTTGAGTTTGAATTGTTTTGATTTTGAATTATTTTTGCTCATCCTTAGTTTAATTTATTCTCACACTCCATCTCTCCATTGCTACTTCATATTCATTCATTCATTCATTCATTCATTCGTTCGTTCGTTCATTCATTCATTCATTCATTCTTCATTCATCTTGGCTTTTTGAGACTGATTTTGATCTGTTTTGTTCATCCCAGATTTACTTTCTAGTCTGTTTTCATATTCCACCTCTACATTACTGCTTCATCTCACTCACTATTTCATTAGGATGTTTTTTTGGGGAGACTGATTTTCATAGATGCTCCCACATTTCTAGTCATGTGAAATTTTATAGTCACAACCAGATTCACATGAACCTGGTATCAGTGGTGAAAGGGTCAGGGAGGCTCTACATTTAACCTTACTTTGAAAGTTATATCCTGCTTCTCACTTTCTCTGTGCTCTTATAACTGCTGAAACAAGGAGAGAGATTTTCCATATTTGCATATTCTCCACAGAAGGTGGCTCTAAATTGTCTGAGGAGTCTCCGCGGTAGAAGAGACTCCTTGCTGAGAAACAATGCTGAACATAATGACAGCAGGAGTTGGAAAAAAGCTTCATTTTGCTTTTTATGCAATTTGTTCATCTGTCTTTGAGGTTTATTATGAATATTAAAATATTAATGTGAAATAAAGAAAGCAGTGCCCATTATTTTATTTTCTTTTTCCTATTACCTAAATGTATTTGCTGGTGATGTGATATAGTTCTGGCTAACGGTTATGTTCTAATTTCAATGTTTGGGAATCCTATTTTGCCTTCAATCAGTTTTCCTCCCAGGTAAGTGCAAATAGAATGGATGCTTTAGATTAGTTGGCTATCATTGTTTGTTACATTCCAGCAAGCAAAATACACATTCTGATACCACCAAGAATGCATAGCATAATGAATGGCCTATTTGAAGTGGCTTTGAAAGTAATCCATAGGAAAATCTATAGGCTTCTGTCCTGAGATAACCAGCAAGATAACTTGCATGACCTAAAATTTGCAAGGTGTTTGCAAAATATTGTTGTAAATATTATTATTTAATGTATGGAGAAAAGGAAGAGAACATAAGGAAATCATTCATCTGAATTATTACTAAGTTCCTAAAATTCTTCCAGAAGCGTGTCCTTGGGTGAATATAAGTATAAGTGCTTCATCAGTCTCAAGTCCCTTGTGCCTGTGACAGAACTTAAGTCCAGCCTACCTTGAATTCTGTTGACTCTTTTTTAAAAAAATAAATAAATTTTTATTTGTTTAAAAGTACAAACAAAACAGAACTAGTGACAACAAAACATACAGAACAAAACATGTAAACAAAGATTTCAAATATACATTTTGTCAAATATATATTGTCAAATAAACAACAGTAATGTATGTTCTTATTTGTGTTTTGACTCTTCCCTGTTCGATCTTACTCATATATCTGACTCTTATCTACTGCCAATTTGCTTTGACCATTGGTAGTTTAAATACTTTTAGAGAGTGTTAGCAAGCAATACAGGGGTGGGTTCTAGTTACCTTTATACTGGTACTCAATGGGGCCGCACGCGCATGCGCTTCTGCACAAGCGCAGAAGCATTTTCATGATGCCAGGGTCAGTGGGTGGGGCCTCCTGCTGGTTTTACTACCGGTTCTATAGAACTGGTGCGAACCAGGGGCAACCCACCACTGAAGCAATATACCTGTATTCATTGGTTGCTTCCTGATTTCTTGTACCTGATATTCATAACAGAAAGGATGACTTAATAATTTACGGTACTTATAGTGAATGAGCAAGCAAGCTGCTACTACCTCATATACGCTGACAGCCTCTCGCTTCTTAGTTTCAATCTACATTCATTCATCTCATTCACATATCCTACAACTGCAAGAAGAATAGTTGAATGCCTAGGTCGTGTATGGACTGATAATCTTTTTTTTTGCTAGAGGTGAATGAGTTTTGTCTTCAAAACAACTGAAGAAGAATTCTGTGGGGAAAAAAGAATAAGAAGTAGTGCACCGAGGTGGGGGAGAATGAGTGAGCCATGGTTCTTCTCCAACCTCTGATGAACGTTGGGAGTTTTAGGGCAAAGTTATTTTTCAGGTAACGAATTGGCACAGAGATAATTTCCATTTCAAGAGTTGTTTGGTCTCTAGAAAAATAGGAAAAAGTTAGCTAAAGTTTAACTTCTTGACTTTTAGTTTTAATTATTTGTCTCTATATAAGCTAATCTTTTGGAATTTTGTGTAAATTGTTTTCAGGCCCAGGAGGTAAGGAAAAGTGGCTGATTTCCCTAGTCACCCACCTGAAGTGGCCTATAAATTTATCTTTTTTGTTTTATTGGCAGATAACGAATAACAAATTCTCTTTATCATATGCCAGGGATAGGGAGAGAGACACTAAGTAAGGCATCTCTCTGAAATATGGGTGGTGGCAGCAATAACTACTAAGGCTCCTAGCAAGGCAAGCATTGGAGCTATGGCATAGAGCACGGGTGTCAAACTCACGGCATCATGATGTTGTCATGTGATGTTTCACGGGGTGGATGTGGCCTATGTGTGGCGCATCTGGCTCGTGGGCTGCCAGTTTGACATCCCTGGTATAGAGCATTTCTAGAGTTTAAAACTTCCAGCCTTTCACTCAAGGCTGGATCTTTGCTACAACAATGTTAATTCTAATATAGCCAGGGTAACTTAAATGAATCTTTATTTCTTGAGAAAGTTGGCAAGTAATTCTGCTAACGTACAGCTAGTCCTTGACATTACCATTTGTTTAGTTACTGTTTGAAGTTACAATGAGACTGAAAAAAGTGACCATTTTTCACACTTATGTCAGTTGCAGCATCCCCATGTCAGATGATCAAAATTCAGATGCTTGGCAACTGGCATGTATTTATGATGGTTGCAGTTTCTCAGGATCACGTGATTTCCTTTTGTGACCTTCTGGCAAGCAAAGTCAATGGGGAAGCCAGATTCACTTTAACTTTTGAAGAGCCCTGGTAGCGCAGCAGACTAAAGCACTGTTATTAACATCAGTTGCCTGCAATTACTGCATCAGCTGCCTGCAAGTACTGCAAAGTTCAAATCTCACCAGGCTCAAGGTTGACTCAGCCTTCCATCCTTTCTAAGGTAGGTAAAATGAGGACCCAGATTGTGGGGGCAATAAGCTGACTTTGTATAAATATACAAAAGTATGAAGGCTATTGCTTAAAGCATTGTAAGCCGCCCTGAGTCTTCGGAGAAGGGCGGCATATAAATCAAATAAAAAAAAACAACAACTGGGTCACTAACTTATCAAGTGTGGTGATTCACTTAACAACTGTGGCAAGAAAGGTCGTAAACTGGGGCAAAACTCACTTAACAACTGACTTGCTTAGCAACAGAAATTTTGGCCTCAATTGGGTTCATAAGTCGAAGCACTACCTGTATAAGTATAATAGCAATAGAATTTGTGGTGTGGTTTTTTTTTATCCTGCTTATTTGTTTTCACTTTAGTTTGCTGAAGAACAGGTAAGGGATAAGCTGTCTGTCCCCTGACTTGTAATGTGTCTTTGATATTGAATGCCTTGTCCCCATTTCAAAGCTTAGCAGCTTTCATAACGCCCCTTTATGCGGCTTCCCTTCTGCCATGCCATGAGGGGGCAATGAGAGCCCTGCTGGTAGAAGAGTAACAGGAGTGGGCTTGCTCTGGCAGCAGCTCTAAAAATGATCTTAATGGGTGGCTGTTCTGATAGCATGAATTACACCATTTAAACACAAATTAGCAAGGTAATTAAAATGGGAGTTCAGAAGCATGAGCTCATGTTTTTCAGTGTGTCTACATGAGTCAGTATTCTTATTTCTTCTTATTCTATAAATACAGCAAAATACAACAAGGGTGTCTTTTTAAATGCAAGCAATGCTTGTAACTCCATATTCAAATACAACAGCTTGACTGAATCACTTCAGGCAAGGCAAAATGTTACATTCTGGACAGAAGCCAGAATTCATGATAGATTAAACATTTGCTGAGGTAAGGTTTTCTAGTGCAGAATTTTAAAAATCAGGGTGTAAACAAGGGAACAAATATTTATTGGCTTATGTAGTTCTGTCTGCCATATGCAGTATTAAGGCTTTTACTTGTAAAAAATGCAATCTTCTATATTGATTGGCTTCATTAATTGAGGCCATGATTTAAAATGAATTTTATTCCTCTATTATTTTGCTTTTCAAAGTGCATAAAATATGCCCTTAAGAAGCTGAGATAATGCTTAAGTTTTTTTTAAACTAAATAAATTAGATGACGTAAAAAATTTTCAACCAATACAAGTGACAGTAAAAGTATACAATAATAATTGTTCACAAAGTTAATGCATTTCATTTCATTTAAATTTTATTAAGAAACCTACCTACCTAAAAAGTAAAGTATAAAATAAAAATTAAAACAGAAATAAAAAAGTAACAGGGAAAAGAGGAAAAATGGGAATAGCAAAGAAAATATCTAAAAAAATTAAAATTACAAGAAAAAAGTGCTATAGTGCTGTAAAATATTGTGGTTTTGTTTTGCTTAATATTTGACTAGTTTTGTGTGTTGACTAGTTTTATTTCATGAATAAAAATAAAAGCGGTTGCAGAAATTCTGATTCCTGACTAATTTAGCCAAATGAGTCCCTTCTTCATTGCCTCCTAAACTAGCAGAACGGAGAAAAAACAAAAGTTAAGGTAGCTAGATCTGCTATTGTCCTCTATAATTTGAGTACCATTCATGAATCAAATAATACCGTATGTTCCAAATATTTCTCTCAATTACTTTGCATGCCTCCCATTGATCGTGTTTTCTCCTGTGCTGAATCCATTAAATTTATTTTTTACTGAAAATGAGATAAAATATGAATATACAACATAGAAAATACAACATAGAATCACAATAAACTCATCCTTGTACAATATAATTTATTACTCTTATTAAAAACATACCTATTAGGCCTGTACTACTTTGTCTTTCCCATATAACTTTAACAGCAGCCTAGAGTAATAAATCCTTCTATATTAGAATTAACATACACTATAAAACAAGACTAATGTATTGAGAATTATTTTTACTTAGTACAATGTTTTTCAAACTTGGCAATTTTAAGATGTGTGGACTTCAACTCACAAAATTTTCCAGCTAGCATGCACACAATATGTGTTACTGGCAGCAAGATAAACAATTGCAACAACTAGAATCAAAACAACTGACAGAGAAAACTATGTGAACAAAAAGTAACATGAACCAAATTACTTATAAACAATTAATGACTTCTTAGAACAGTTTCTGTTTTTTTTTTCTTCTATTTTTCTCTCATTCATTATTTCTTCCTAAGAAGCAAGAAAAAAAGTTATAACCTGGTTGTGCTTTAGTTTTCTCTTCTGGCTGGGAAAGAAGAAGCAGGAGAAGGTGAAAGCAAGGTTTTTAGGCATTTCAGTATTTGCAGTGATTCGCATCCTCTGCCATGTTCATTATTTTTCCACACAAATGAGAATTCCAATTTGAGCAGGTTTGTCTCTCTACTACTTCCCTAAACAGAGGCCTCAAATCATGGGACCTTGTAGAAGTTTAAAGTCTTTTCCATGTTGCAATTTTCATTTCTCATTCAGCCTTTCTTTGTCCAATCAAAACTTACTATTCAGAGCCAATATAGGGAACAAACACCTTTCTTACTCTTATCTTTACTCTGGCTTAAACAGACTTCAGCTTTTAATATGTGGGAGGGCAGTATATATGTAGTATTGATCAATTTCTTTTAAGGAATGAAGAAATGTTGTCTTCATTATTCAAAATCATAGAATATTCATATAGATATTATGTAGTCTTAGAAAGATGGATCATAAATGACAGGTGCTAATTTGAAGCTAGAATTGTGCACTTTACCCACCCAATATCTGACCTTCATGGGGGTCAAGTAAACCTTTCTAAGCTGAAACAGCAAACTTTTTATGCAGATCTAGAGGAAAATTTAAGTTATTGTTATGTCCTTTTAAAGTTGGATTTGTTCAGAAGACAACACTTGCTATCATTTTATGTTCTACTCACCAGTCTTTATTTTAGCTGATGTTTTACCAACATCACAATTGGAAGATTTAATAATATTCCTTTTCAATATTCCAGTATTTTGGTGCTGCCTGATGGAGAAAATAGAATCCATTATCTGTGTTTTTCCTCCCTGCCAGGTTTATATATATATTTCTACAAGAATTTAAACATGCTCTAATATTAATTAATTCCATGAGAATTCAGAAAAGGAAATTATTGTTTTCCTCTTATTTGACACTTGATGATGATTTCCAAAAGATTACAAAATTCTGTTAAATTAACCACTGCCCTCTGTCATGTAATAATTAGAGCTCATTGCTCACTATTTTTATCTACCTTCAATCTACATAATACACAAGTACATGGTCCATCTGCCATGTAGGCAGATTATATAGAAAATTTTGTTGTAGAATTGAACTTATTAATTGCCTATTGTTACATTTTAATTATTTATGATTACAAATGAAAACAATAGTTTATTGTTCCATTTATATTATATTGTTCTTTAAAAAGATCAGGATTCTTTATGCTGTTAACTTGATCAGTATTTGATTCTTATCGTTCCTGAAAGGGATCCCTGAATGATGGTTTCTGCCTGTGTCTGTAAGATCTGATAGAATTGGCTTTCTTTTTGTTTTGTCAATTAAGTAATGCCATCTAGGACAACCCAGAAGGTAGACCTTCTCTGTTACAGCACTTAATCTCTGACTAGCATCTCCCTGGAGATTTGCATAGCCCCCCCCATTAAAAAAAAAACTTTTCACAACCCTGTAATCTCTTAATTCAGGGTAGAATCGGGGCAACTGGATGGAGCTGAGCATTTACTAGCTGGATGCCCTTCCTGATGTTACACGGAGTTCACAGCAGTTATTTTCTTTGCACCTTAGGAGAGAAACATCTGCCATTACCCAGGATTGAACTCTCAACCTTCTGAGTGGAAGATGAACATCTTCATCACTAGGCCACCACACCTCTTGCATAACCCCCCACATTATTAGCCTTTAAAACAGCATTAAAAACACAGGTATTTTCCCAAGCCTAAGATTAAAGCAGTGGTTCCCAATGTGGGGCCCACGCCCCACGGGGGCAATTTGGAAACTTGTTTAAGCCAAGTAAATGGCCTTTTAGGCTTCCTCCGCGTGAGTAGGAGTTCACTTTTTGAATAGTAAGAATTATATGTCACGGGGTGTGTGTGTGTGGGCATCATGATTTTAGAGATGCTTAGGTGGGGCATGACCAAAAAAAGGTTGGGAACCACTGGATTAGAACGATTGGAAGCGTTATATCTGTTTTTAGCACTATGGGCCCCTCCAAATGTTGTTTTTAGGTTTTGTTTCACTTTTGTTTTATTCTTTTTATACTGCATGTTAACTGCTCAGAGGTTGGGGATGGCTGGCCTAGAAATTTGAAATATAAAACAAATAAATAAATTCTGGTGTCCAGAGTAACCATATTAGATCTCTGGTCTAACAGCTATTGTGCTGCTGCTTCGTAAACAGTGAAATTGCTAGTGTTAGAGAACTGAAAACCAACTCTGTGTGACAGATGAAAGTTGCTGGGGATAAAATTTTACAAAACTCTACATCAGAAGTGAAATCCAAAGACTGTTATTGATTTATGCTTTTTCGAACTCTTAAAAATGATGTCTTCAATGAGAAAATAGGAGGAAGGCATATTAGGCATGTTGCCTACCTGAGTTATTTATAAAAAATAATAAAGGCAAGATAAAAATAAACAAATAAAATGAATTTAATTCTTTAATCTTTTGGTTTTGGCAGCTTAAATAATGCTGTATCAAAATTGGAGCCATGTTGTCTGAAGTAAGAAAATAATGTCGCACACTTTATGATCAAACAGATAGCAATAACATTATAAACCAGGCTGTTATGTTACAGAAAAGGAACTAAATCAGTTATAGCCTGTGAAATTATTGCAGCTTCTGAAAAAAGATTGCCTTCTAGGCATAACAGCATTTACAGCAATTGGATTGCAAGCTTGAGATGGGTTGTAGGGTAAATGTGTCGTATTAATGTGTTTTCACATTTTCAGTTGAAGCTTGGAGATATGCATACAATATTTCATATTTCTTCGGGGCTCTTATGTATCTTCAGAATTTTGTTTTAAGGGACATTGTGGAAGAAAAATGAGCGGAAAGTTGAGTACCTGATTTTTTTTTTTTTGCGTGTGTTCTCATTGAAAATCAGTACACCAGGTAAGTAGTCAAACATGGGTCATCAAGGGTCAAGGGAACATCTTGCATAAGGTGCCTCTCAATAACATAGATATTAGGTTCTCAGTCTTGTTATAAAAAGCTTTCTTGTTCCGATGTGGATAGAAATTAAGAATATCAGTGCCAGGAAATAAATGTTGGTGCTCATTAGGAAAATTAGAGGGCAGGACAATCAATGGTAGGAAGAAAAAGGCAATATTTGAAGTCCCATTTTATAATGAAAGGTTAGGATTGTCTATGCAGTGAGGTTAGATTAAAGATATGATCTTTATTTGCATTGTTAAAAATGAATAAGATTGTGTGTATTTGTGGCAGCGAAAGAAGGCGAGATTAAAATTAAAGTTGCTACAAAATGCTAGAATGAGGGGAGGCTTTGGTTTGCCTAATTGGGAACTTTACTATCAAGCAACAAGTTTGATGTGGATTAAAGAATGTATAACTTTGAGAAATACTAGATTATTGAATTTAGAAGGGCATGATTTGTTGATGGGGTGTGTTGTGGCTCCGATCCCCGAGCCCATCTTATCGGAGGAAGAAGGCTCCGAACATGAAGGAGAGGAGCCGGCCAGGCCTCCCTCTCCAGGCCCCTCCTCTCTGGCAATGCCTCAGGTGTCTGCCGAGGGAGAGGAGATTGACCAGGAGCCAGGTGTCTCCGATGACAGCGATGAGGGGGATAAGTTGTTCCTGGATCCACGCCAACAAAGGCGAGATAAACGTTTGCAGCAGATGAGGAGGCGTGCCAGGGATTAAGCTGAGTCACTGGACCACACCCCACAGGCTATATAAGAGAGTGTGGTGGCCATTTAGACTCTGTGACGGACAAAGCTAACTTCTGGCTAGTCACTTTGTACAACGCCTGATCTGCTGAAGGTTTCATGTTTGAGCTGGACTGTTTTGAAAACTGTGTGTATTAGTTGGTGTTATCTGGTGGAGGAACACTCCCTCTTCTTGTAGTAAAGCACTTGGCAGACGGTTATCGTATTGCTGCCAAGTTCCTGATAACGAACCTTGTGTGTGCCGAGTACTTCTTTAACCCCCGGCTGGCTGTTTGTGTGTGTGTGGGGACGGGGACAGAACAGGGTGGGATGCTTTCTTGTGGTATAAAGGAACAAAAATACAGGGGTATTTTAGAAGACATCAGTTACATGAAGCTTTTTTACTGAATTGGGAGAAGATTAAAAAGCAACATTATTTGAAAATTCCAGTCTGGATATCTACAATAGAAGCATTTTCATATTCAGTAGTATTTAGAAGGGAACAAATTGTTAGATATAATGAATTAATGGATGAAAAGGGTGAACTTAAATCGAAGCAAGAATTGGAGGAACAAGGTCTTAAAATGGATTGGTTTTCTTACTGGCAAATACGTTCTAGACATGAAGAAGATCTTAAGCAAGAAGGTTTTTACAATGTTATGACTAACTTAGATAAGATTTTAATGAGTTCTGATGACTATGTAATTAAAACATTATATGGATATTTGCTAGAGGTAAAATTGGAAGAAGAACAAGTTAAAGAACCAATGATAGCAATGGGGAAAATTTTGGTCATGGTATTGATTTAGAGAAATGGCAAAAATTGTGGTCGCAAAATTATAAAATGACAATGTCTACAACATTGTAGGATAAGGAGAATTTGTATAAGATGTTTTACAGGTGCCATTTACCCCTGACGAGGATAGCCAGAATGTTCAAGAATAAATCGGAGAAATGTTGGAAGTGTCATCAAACTCCAGGATCATACTACCATATGTGGTGGACATGTGTAGAAGCTAAGAGATATTGGACGAAGATACACACGTGGTTGGAAAAAATGATAAACAAACACATTGACTTTAAACCAGAAATATTTTTATTAGGGATTATACCAGAACTATATAATAGAGAATTGCAATATTTAATTGTGAATGTTCTAACAGCGGCTAGAATCGTATTTGCTAAAAATTGGAAAGGAGAGAAGTTACCTACTGAGGAAGAGGTTATTAAGAAAATTATGGAATGTGCTGAAATGAGTAAATTGACATTTGAAATTAGAGAACAGGAAGATAATATTATTTGATATGGGATTTGTCTTATCAATGGATAGACAATAAAACATGGAGATGAAATATGAAATATGAGGTTGATGTAAAGTTAAAATATGTGAAGTTCTTTTTTATGAGAAATAAGCTTTTATCACAAATTGGTACTTTGGAAATGGGATTAAGCACAAAAGAATGTTAAGCGATCGACACACTGTCTGTAATTGTTTGTAATTGTTTTGTTTTTGTTTTAAAATAAAAAATTATTTTCAAAAAAAGAAAGATTGTGTGTATTTGTGTGTGTGCATGTGTCTAGAGAAAGAACATAAATCTTGCTCATCTAAGATTATTTAAGTGCTTAATTTCACATTTGTACTCCGGCAATTCATTTCATTTAATAGAGTTTATTAGCAGTAGTACTGATTTTTTTTTAAAAAAAACCTAACTCTTACAATAGTATAAAAAAGACACGCTTTCAGGATTTATCAGCTGTGGTGAAGCAACAGAATTTTCCTTTCTAGCAGAAATAAATTCTAGAACATGTTCATCAAGAAGACCAAGTGCTGTGATGTAGACCATCTATTCTGGATCTGCACAAGCTTGCTATAGCCTTTTATGGGTAAAAGAAACGTCAAGCTGCACTTGTTCTGCAGCCTGCCACAATCCTGAGAGGGAGAGGGATGGTGGTGGTGGTGGTGGGGAGGGGTAAGAGTACTTGTTGAAAAAAAGGGGAAACTGAGGGGGGGGGAGACCAGACAAACAGGAAGCAGAGGTGTGAGCCAGTTTAATCTGGTCACTTCAAGGACTTTGGGGCACTCAGGACCTGGGAATGAAATCTTAACTGCTTCTCAAAGTGTCCTGTTCTCAAAACAGCCAGCTGCCATCCTACCATGATGGACTAATGAAGGGGAGACCACTAAGGGTTTGAAACAAGGTAACAATTTGCATGGATTTTCTTCAGAACTGGCTTTGCTTTTGCTGCATCCAGTTGTTTCTAGTAAAAATATCCTTGTAACCTTCAGATGGAGTCAAGCGTATTTCTTTCCTAGAGAGCCAGCTGGGACAGGGCTGACATTAGGCCTAATGTCTGCAAAACTGGTCAACCCGGAGCCACCAAGCTACCGCATCACAGATATTGTCTCACGAGAGTGACCAAGAGGAGGCTGACACCTGGAGAGAGGAGGCTCCCAGACTCCATGGCTGGACAGAGCCCTTGGAGTAGGCAGGAGAGGCAGAGGTGAGACCTATGTGGTAGATGGGCATCAGCCGGAAAGAAGAATGGGATGAAAGGATTCTCCAGAGTGACCCTCATCCTTTCTTTACTAGAGAGCCAGCTTGGATAGGGTTGACAGGAAGACAGTCTGCACATACTGAGAAGAATATATGTTTTCTTGTCTCTCATAAGACAAGTAATTAAAGAAAAGGATTGGTTGATACTTTGCTCTCCAGCTGCGAGTGAAGAGCTTCCAAGTGAATGGTTAATTCAAAAGCTACCTTTGAAGGCTAGAAATGTGGTAGATTTGATCTCTCCCTGCCCAGCCTTCCCTAGATGGTTGACCTACAGTTTTAATTGGGAACAGTGAGGTTCCCAGTCTTATCTACCCAAGGGGAATCAGGTTAGTAAGAGCGTATTATACGGCCTAACCAGGACTTCATTTATCCAACGGAATAAAATTGTACTACTTGTGAGTCACATTCCTATCTTTTGAATTCATTCCCAACCAGCCCAACTCACTCAATGCATCATGTGGGAAAGCCTAGCCCCAAACATGTGCTGGCTTGGCTTGAATTATGCTTATCTTCATTGGCTACAATATCCAGGCACAATAAAACATGTGCAATGCTGAATAAATCCTTTCTTATGTAAAGGCATACACACGTATGCACAATAGGATCTTCCAGGCAGTAATTTTCAAAATTCTTTGGAGAAGCATTTCTGATTTGGCTTGATTACCGAACTGAATCCCACAAGCCTAGCATGAAACTATATGAATTCAGGGGAAAAAAAGGATAATATAGGGCATCTCTCTCTTCCCAATTTCCTGTTAAAAATTGAGCAGAATCATTTAAATATTCTGCGGCTAGAACATCCTCCTCCATTGTTTTGGAATGCAAAAAAGCTTACCTAGAACACAAGGTCTATGCTTCCCCGAACCTGCTTGTCTGAAGCAGCTGATTCAAGCTGTAAGCATTTTGTGGACAACAGTTGACTGGTAGGGCTGTATGACATATATGGGCAGATCGAGTATCTTCAGCCGCTTGTTGTTTTTAACAAAATAACAAAAGCACTATTGTGGCTTCACACCACAAGCTCTCCCCCTTTTGTCTGTGTGTGCAATGTCAGAAAGTACGTACAAAAGAGGCAGATGTTTTATTCCCCCCCCCATCTGCAGACATCACTGTGGGTGTGGCTTGTTTTGCAGCAAATTTTGAGATCTGTTTTCAGTTTCCAACCTGAGCTACCTGTCCTAGTAATATTTCAGCCTCAGGGAAGAAATTCTCATAAAAGAAGGAAAATTTCAATTGTCAGTTCATTTCATCTACGGCTGAAGTCACTCAACTGTAGAGAGTTGAGAGTCCTCAGACTGGAGGACTAGAGAGAGACAGAGTCCTCAGCTTTATTTATCACTTGACAGCTTTTTGCTTATCTCAAAGAGAAACCTTTTGAACCCCTCTGAAGCCAAATCCTCTGATCCCCCAAACTGAACTGGAGCCCAGCCACTGTGATCTTAAGAAGCCCATCAAGGCCCTCTACTGAGTTAAAACTTGCAATTCAGCTCTTAAGAAGTTGCTAACCTTACAAGAGTTAAACCAAACCAAAATTGCTTGTTGGGATAGGTCTCCTAGCCCAGAAGAGGCAGGTGGTTTCACTTGTTCAACTGGATCTTGGATCAATCCTTTGAACTGGTCTTAGACAACAGCTCCAGAAGTACCATGGTTTCAGGAGACCAGGAAACATGGTGAATAAAAACCAGAAAATAATCCAGATCAATAACTCATTTGTGGTAGTTGTCTATCAAATGTTGTGGCTGCAATTCTATATTTGTTTAATAGAGTTGATTGGTTATTGTCATAAAAATCATTTTCAGCTCCTAGAAATCATAGATAAACATTTGCTATGATGGTCTACCCTTAACCTGGATCTTCCAATGTTGCATTCATCACTACTGTAACCCAATCCATCCACCTTGTTGCTGGTCTTTCTTTCCACCTTTCGCCAAATTGCAGCATTTTCCAGAGAGCCAAGTCTTTATATAATATAATTCATTTAATAAAGTGTGATATATTTCCAAAGAAATACAGTGTATGTATCTATGTACTCCTCCCTCTTTCTTCTTCCTCTGTCCCTCCCTCTCCAGCAATACTGCCTTGTCATTTTTGTAAAATTAATCCGTTACATAAATTTCAGTAGGGCTACTGAATCTGGGCTAGAAAAATCCACATGACTACCAGATGTCAACAAAGTTACGTAGAATACTAGTTCTTTTCTGTCATCTAGTAGTTATTAGGATTCTTCCAGCCTAGATCTTCTGGTAATCTGCTAAATGATATTATTATCCTAAATTGCATTTTATTATTTTATATTCACAAACACTAGATAGGAAAATCTAGAAAGAACTGCAGATCTTTGACCAAATTGTGGATTTAATGTTTCATTTCCATAATCAGATACCGCACCAGAAATCATTTTCTTGTTGTTCATTAATATTGGGCTCTTTGTATATATAACTTCAGAAAAAAAGCATGCAAAGTTTATTTACTTACTCAGAAAAATGTTGATAGGCAAATTGATGTATTTTTCCTCTGTTTTCTGTCTTGGGTACAGCAAAGTAATTAGCAAGCGGTAACTTCAAATTACCCAACTCAGGTTCAAGTTGCTGCTTGAGTTACTGGCCATAGGCAATCCAAAGATAACTCACATAACCAGTTTTGTGAAATTCCCAGCCAATTTGAATTCTGCTTGTGTCTCTTAATGCATAAATGTAAGACTTCTCCTTGTCTTCCTTCTCTTTCTTGTTATATTCTATTCTCAAATAACCAAAAAAGAATAGAACGAAAATATGAATTTTATCTTCCTTTTCCAACTCTTACAATTTCCAACTCTTAAACTTCACTTAAAGATGCCAATGCAAAGAATCTGTTTCCCAAACAAAGGTATCACAGATGGTCTCCAGATGAGTTACAATTCTCCTTGACTCATTTAGAGAACCCAATCAGACTCCAAGCATTGTCATGTAGCATTTATAACCTAGCTATGTTTTCTATTTCCCTTTCCTTTCCTTTTCATACCATTAAAAAAAAAACCTCTCTCATGCTGTGTTGGTTTGGCAGTGCCAGGGATGGTTTGTTTGAAAGCATTCTTGGCAATTAAGAATCAGCAGACCTAAACTGAATGAGCATTCAGTTTAAAAATTTTTGAGCAGAGATTGTTTAAAAATTGGTGCTGCTGTATTGTGTGAGGAGATCCTTTAAATACTCCAGTGTTTCTTAACCTGGAAAAAGGCTGGTTGGGGAATTCTGGTTGTTGAAGTTCACACTTCATAAAGTTAGTGAGGTTGAGAAACATTGAGATACTCTCTTAGGCTGCAGGAGATACCTACTCTGAAGTCAGTTTCTGTAATGGTTATTTGAATCACAAAAGAGCAATTTCTTTTAAATTCACCACCCATTTGCCACCTGGAAATACTGAAAATATTCATGGCGGAGAGCAAGGTTTTTTCTATTACATGCAGGGGTGAAATCTACTTACCTTCCCTACCGGTTCGGAAGTGCACGCTCCACGCACATCACAGGCAATTTTGGACCCTCTGCGCATGCACAAAGCCTTCTGCACATGTGCAGAGCGTCAAAAACTGGTTACTTCCTGATTAAAACCAGGAAGTAATGACATCCAGGCAGGTGGGCGGAGCTTCATGCTGCCGCCACTACTGGTTCACCGAACCATTCACTGCCACTGCTACCGGTTCGCCCGAACTGGTGCGAACCAGTAGCATTTCACCCCTGTTTACATGGCACTGGATAAACTCCTTTAAGGAGTTGTCATGTGATAGTCTCTACTGCAAGAATTCTGGGCATGTTAATAGGATTTGGAGGAAACATGTCAGCCTGGTGAACACTGTAAAATAGCTGCAAGAGAAACAGATGTCACTTTCATAGGCAATTAACATAATGAGAGTTTCATAACCCATCATTACAAATAGGTTTACACCGGCAGCTCCATGCATCTCCTGCACCAATGCTGGTCCTATATGCTTCACAGTGGAGAACTGTAAAGAGAGTATCTACAGATAAGCTTCTATTGACATAGACAGCTTAATCCCAATGGATATGGCTATTCAAGCGATGTCTGATATTCAGAGGGTGTCAGGGGCATATGCGAAGAGAATGTAAAAAAAAAAGGTCAAGATGACAGCCAGCACTGTACAGGTGGTCCTTGACTAACAGCCATTCATTTAGTGACTGTTCAAAGTTACAACATCACTTTAAAAAGTGGCTTATGACTGTTTTTCACACCTATGACGGTTGTCGCATCCCCATAGTCGTGTGATAAAAGTTCAGATGCTTGGCAACTGGCATGTATTTATGAAGGTTGCAGTGTCCTGGGCTCATCTGATCACCTTTTGTGACCTTCTGACAAGCAAAGTCAATGGGGAAGCCTGATTCACTTAACCGTATTACTAACTCAACAACAGCAGTGATTCACTTAACAACGGTGGCAAGAAAGGTTGTAAAATGGAGCAAAACACACCTAACAACAGTCTTGCTTAGCAATGGAGATTTTGAGCTCAATTGTGGTCATAAGTGAGGGACTAACTTATAAGTGAGCAATTAAAGCCCAATTCCATTTTTGCATGTAAAAAAGGGTGGGGCTTTGATCATGTGGTTTCAGTCAGTATCTTGACTTTACTTACTCTCCCATGCTACTACTTAAACCATAAGCATCTCCCCTCCCCAGCACATGAAACTCATTTAATATCACTAAGGCTTGAGTGAACACGAACAGCGTCTTCTTGTGTGGACTTAGTTTTAGGTAAGTAACTTGTGCCTCACTTTGATTCTTCCCTCCCAATATCACGTGTTCCTCTGTCTTTCTAATGAAATGATCATTTAAAACAGTTGGCAGAATTAAAAACGTAATCCAAAAGATTTTAAAATATGTGAATGCTAGTATAACTTAATCATTGAATATCTGGCAAAACGATGTTCCTTTGTAGATTTTGAGCAAGTAGGTCTTAAAAGTATTAGTGGATATATTAGAGCTAAAAGTATGAGTGAATTCCACAGCTTTGGAGCAATAGGTTTCCCTTGTGCTTTTTCCAGTTTAAGAGAAAAGAAAGTTAATTACTTGATTCTTGCACTTCCTTTGATTATTAAGGGCACTATTTTTATCTGTATAATGCAGTAATTATTCCCTTGGGCATAAGAGGAACTTTTCAACTGTGAAGAGAAGCATCTTACATGTATATCAATTGACTTTGACAATTGACTACACTAAAATATTTTTGTATATCGTACTACACACACAGTGCATCTTTTTTGCTTAGGTACTTTAATAAGTAAAAAAAAAAAGCCAAAACATTCAAATGTTGACTAAAACAACTCCATTTTAATTTTTCCTGAACTGTGGGAATCAGCAAGCAGATGGGCATCAGTGAAAATTAAACTAATAGGCAAGTGAAAAAGGAACAACAGCAATAACTTTATCACCATATGAGAATGTGGTCCAGAATAAGGTGCATATGAGGTCTGCATTGATGCATAGAACTGGGAAGTGATTCATCATGATCAGTCAGGGGCCAGAGAACAGCAATCAGAGATTTTAAAAAGTTAATAGTGAACTGCTATGCAATAAGTTACATTTGACCAGGAACATAGCAGATCAATAATAGGCTGAGGTGAGGTGAGGTGGAAAGCTGTTCGTGAGGGATACAAGAATCATTTCTACAGATCTCTGTTGTAAGATTCCATTAGTTGGACTCTCCACTGTGCTATGTAGCTGGCTTTCCCATCTGGAGCTTCTTCAAACTCACTTGTAGGCAGGTATACAAGCTGGTGCAAGAGAGTAAATGTATACATGAGGGTCTTTTTATTTAACCAACATTAGACTTGATGAAGCCTTATTGTTGCTGAACCTCAATGTCTTGTGTTGCTCACTGTATAAGATTAGGCTACCTTTCCAGAGATTGGCAGCTGCTCCACTGCAAGGTGCAAACCTGTTTGTATGAGAAAGCAAGGAACATATCCTTGGAGCTAAATTTCCAAGTTTGAAGCACTGCTTTCTGAATCATTAATGCAGCTGCATCTGTTTCTAGGTCTAAGTGGTTGAAAGATGCTCTTGGCCTGTCTCTGAATGCATGTGCAATCAGAGTTACTTGGCTGAAGATATTTCCTGGCAGAAATTCAAATTACAAGGGGTTTTGAAATGAAGCATGCATCCCAAGAACTGGAGGGCTAAGACAAGCATAGTTTTTTCTATCAGATGGCAAACTTAGAAATTGTTTCTGCATTTCTGCACTAATTTGTCATTCAGTATAGACTTACCCAGACATAAAGAGGAACAATTATCTCCTAAAACAAATATTTATTTTTCCAACAAGATACATGATCCAGGAAACTCAAATATACAGATATAATTTGGAACATTCTGGCTGAAAAGTGGAATATCCATGTAATGAATTGGCATTTGCAACATTTCGGTAATCAGGTCATATTAATGACAATGACAAATGCCTGATGCCAAATGATATGCTGTAACCAAGGGGCATATAGAAGATAAGCTGAGCTGCATTATTTGGCAAGACACTAGACTGGATAAAAATTAGATCCATAGGTTGAATCCATTTTTATTGGTAGAAGAAAAATTCCTGCAATTGTGGCTCCAATTTGCTTTGGAATATTTTAAATATTTTAATATTTAATATTTTAAAGTGTGGTTTTACTATTGCAGTATAAAGTGGTACTATCACTTTACATGATTTTGGTACAGTCCCTCTGTTGATGGAGCCTAGGACTGCATTCGACTGTTTCAAAGTCAAATGCATTCATTTAAATACATTCATCTTGCTCATGTTCCACTTTGAAGCACTTCACAAAGTGTTGATTTTTTTACAACCTCACTCCTACATACGCTTGTGAGGAAGTTGCCATGGTGCTAAAGGAAGATGCAGAGAAAGATTAATTCTTCATAGAATGTTATGTTGCTAACATAACAGGCATTTCTGAATAGGGGCAAGAAAGAAATACCATTGAAAATTACTTTAGTGTCATTTTCAAACGTCAGCCAGCAGATGTCACTATGTACATAATAAATAAAAATCCAACCCTGTTTCCTAGTAAATTCAATTTAATGGCTATTATTATTCCTAATCAGGTGCTACAAATTCAGTGAGTGTTTCTTTCCTATTCTAAATTATTGAAATATATCTTAAATGAATTAGATGTAGATTTGGGATGAATGCAGCTTTAAAATGGAATTGTAACTGTTTATATTCAAATGTTTCCAATTTCAGTATGTCAATACTTGTAGAATTGAAATTTGTCTTGAGTTATTCCAATGTGATATAAGTAGGAGAATAATGCAGTTTTTCAGTATCCACTTCTGTGATCCAGCTTCTTTGAGAGCCAGCAACAGAAGAGCAACAAAAACAGACTGACCAGTGCCTGGAAGGGAGAGAATGCATTTACCTCAGACTGAAATGGCTAATAAGACCTTCTCTGAACCCATCAAGTGTTGCTCATTTGTTGTTAGCACTAACAAAATGGATGGCAAAATGTCACAAATTGTTCTTATCTATGGCTGCTATTCTGGGCGTACACATTATACTAATACTTTATGGAGTGCCTGCTTGAACACACACAGATGTGGCAAATTGGTCTATCTGGCTTTTTCAAGCAGCAGATCCTAATCCCTTCCATCACAACAGGGGTATCAAACTCCCGGCCCGTGGGCCAGATGCATCATGCGCTGGCCACACCCACGCCCGGTTTAAATGAAGGGGAAAAAAGTCCTGATACATCACGTGACGCTGCCATGATGCTGCAAGTTTGACACCCCTGCAACACAATCTCGATTGTTATACTTTTCCACAAATCTGGGGAACTACCTATGTAATTACTTCTATTTTTTACTTTTTTTCTTTTTTTAAAAAAAATAAAATACTCCTTGCATCTTTATTCAGGAGAGA